CTGAGTGGTCTGACTTTCTGCTCAAAGCTAAGTCTGTCAAAAAGCAGTTCCACGGCATTGTCCCTGTGACCTACAACTTTGCTGGAAGTGCTGAGAGTGTGGCCTCTACATCTTCACCTCTGTATAGCTGGAGTGCTCAGATTCCAGATGAGAATACATCCACAGGATGATGGCCATTTCTGTGGAGCAGTGCGTGCTGCAGGGACGGGTGGCAGCATTCAGCAGTGCTGCACTGGGAGACCATGCTTGTCAGCCTTGCACACAGTGAGTAAAAGGAATGGTGCCTTAGAGAATCACAGAGTAATTTCCATCAGGAAGATGGGAAAAGATCTCCAAGATCATCCTGTCCAGCTGTCCTAGCACCAGAGTTGCCCACATCTCTCAGAGCCACACATCCATGCTTCTTGCACGCCCCCGGGGACAGTGACCCCACCACCTCCCTGTGCAGCCTGTGCCAATGCATCACCACTCTTTCTGAGAAGAAATTGTTCTAATATCCAACCTGAACCTCCCCTGGTGCAACTGAAGGCCATACAACTTGCTGGGAAGAAAAGGGAGGAACGGATGACCTGGCTTTGCGTTGAGATGCTTTTGCTGAAGGAGACTTATCTCCTTCCAGATAACTGGCAGAGGATGCTGCAAGAGCTCTATCACATCCACAGAGTTACTGCCTGCCTTATATCACTGCAAGTTCTCAACACATCTGGGCTGAGAACGCTTCCAGTAACATTAAAGTGCACTGTTTTGGTTGGCACACTGACACGGTGGTATATGCCAATTAGTAATGGCTCTTGGAAAGGGGCTCTCGCAAACTCGCCCCAAACTATTCCCCGGAGAAATTATTCAATTAAGTACAACTAAAATTAATGTCCATGGGTTTTGTTCTAATAAAACAAAATAAGCAGCTGGAAAAGGGAAAACTTCTCAGTGTGTGCTTTTAAAATAACTCTCACTAATAACTGTTTGCTGGAATCGGTGCTGCTGTTTGTTTTCTGCGCTGCTCTTTGTGAGAAACCCGGTGAGCACTTCTGCAGCTGATGGCCTGGAGCTGCTCCTGCTCACCGGGGTGCAATTCCAAACCACGGCTGCCTTCGAGAGGATGAGGTGCTGTGTTTGGCATGGCAGTGTCAGGGCTGGACACAGAGACAACTTTCCCCTTCCCTTTCCCTTCCCTTTTCTTTCCCCTTCCTTTCCCTTCTCTTCCTCTTCCCCTCCCTTCCCCTTCCTCTCTCCTTCTCCTCCCCCTTCCCCTTCCTTTTCCCCTTCCTCTTTAGTTCCTTTTTCCTTCCCCTTTCCTTCTCTTCCTCTTCTCCTCCCCTTCCCCTCTTCCCCCTGCTTCAAATCCATCCCTCCTGGAATGAAGAGCCCTTCAGAACCCAGCTGGCCCAGACCCCATCAAACCCCTGGAAATTAGCAGAGCAGCAGAAAGCTGAAATGTAAATAGGAGCACATTGGTTTGCTCCTTTTAGAGAAGTATTTTATGAAGTTCTGCCAAAGCACAGATGAAATATCATCGGTTGAGCTGGGAAAGGTGGGTAAGGGCTCATCCTGGAAGCAGGCTCCATGGGAAGCAACAGTGTCCAGGAGTAGTGCAGGGCAGAGGTTGGTGTGAGGGCGGTGATGTGGGGTTCCTGGAGCTGAGCAGACCTGGAAAACCAGGTGCTGTCTGCAGAGGTGCAGAGAAATTCCCATTCCTGGTGCTGTGGTTGTCACTGTTTCTCTCCTTTCTGCCTTGACGTTGCAGCTGGCACGTTGCACAAAGGTGCTCTGGGTTTCTGATGTGCTTCCATTAGTTGTAATCTTCACTTCATACTGCTGGCATTTTGAACAATGCTTGCTTTCCTATTACCATGTAATTACGGGGTTTGGACATACAGAGGTTGGCGTTCAATATATGATTCATTTCTTTGGTATTTACCTCCTCCTGAAGCACTGAGACCTGATGGAGGGAGAAAGGCTGCTTGGCTGCTGTGCTGAATTCCAGCCTTATTGTAGGGTATTTTTTTGGTTGTTTTTTTTTTTTTTTGCATAGCATAAAATGTTATGGCTTCAGCTCTCTCTGTGTTTTTCTTGAGGCTGACTGCAGTCCTCCAATACTCACAGTGGGATATACCATGGAGATGGGTTATTCATTGATAAATGCTATTGAAGAGTCTGCAATTGTGAACCCACCAAAGAAAGCTCTGGGAAGGAGATGTTTGGCCATTCACGCTGCTCCACAAAGCACAGACCCCAGGTCGAGTGTGTTTCCCTGTGGGCTCCTTTGGTGCCTGGCTTTTGGGTTCCCTACAACACAGACAGCGAGTGTGACCCAAGGGAGGGGTCACCAAAATCAAATGAAGCTTTTTAGGCTTTTTAGATAAAGCAGAATATCATGGAAAACCATGTGTGGGGGCAGGGAGGAAGGGAGCCTGGTTCTCCCCATGGGAGGAGGTTCCTCCTGTGCAGGGCAGGGAAATGCCTGCAGCATTCTGCTGCTCCTGGCTGCAGAGGGAGCGGGCAGAGCTCAGGACATAGGCCCCCAAAAGTCAAATCTTTCAGAATATATGCCTCCAAAGGTCTAATATTTCAAAATACAGCAACCTACTGTGTCTTATCACTGCTTGCTTTGCTGTTTCCTTTGTCCACAGATGCACTGCTTGGGGCTGCAGCTCCTGGTCGTGAAGGGCAGAACAGCTGTGGCTTTGTCTGGTTGATGGATTCAGGATCCTGGCTCTGGGAGTGCTTTTACTTTGCTGAACAACATCTATTGGTGCAGCCTTAATGTTCGTAATCACTTGAGCATAAGCCCTTGGCCCCAGAGCACAGGTACCCATGCTCAACCTGCAGCAGCCATGGAACTCCTGCTGCTCACTGCTGCAGTGCCAGGCTCGTGCCAGAGGTTTTGCCTCCTGCCTTGGGATCCCTGTAGGGCTGTGCCTATGCCTGTGCCAGTGGTTTCAGTGTGGTTTGGAGTGCAGTGTGACAGAAATGTCCTCTGTATGGTCATTGGCAGCCTTTCAGCCCTCAGCCTGCTTCCCTGCTCCCTCGCAGAGGGGAAGCCTCGCTCCTTTGCTTTCCTCACTTTTCTGCCTGGTCAGGTGAATGGGAGCTAATAGAAGAATTTCCATCCCAAAGGTGATTCTTGCAGAGGAGCTGTGGGTCACACCAAGGAGCAATACTGAGAGCCACCAAAGGTCTTCAGTGCTCTTAAGGCTTTCCTAGCTGGGGGTTTGCTCTGGCAGCAGCTCTGCCTACCGAAGAATCCATCACTGCTTCTGCACAGCCTGCATTGCTGTTGCCTTCTGTTGGCTTTGTAGCAGGGAAGAATCCTTTAATCCCCATACGGATGGAGCGTGGCAGGGCAGGGCTGGCTGTGGTGCTGCTGGGTGCTGTGCCTGGGGCAGGAGCAGCGTGCAGGTGGGTCTGCTCCACGCACGGTCCCCGCTGAGACCCTTTGGGCTTGGAAATGACAGAAAGCGTTCCTGTGTGCATCTGTGATCATTTAGCTGTGGTTTGTGTGCCAGGATGTTTTCCAAGGAGGGTCTGGTCGGAGCTGGCAAGGGAAAGGCTCTCATTTCCCAGGCGTGCTTATCGTGCTGTCCTTGGCGGCGATGGGAACTTTCGGCACTTCTTTTCACTCGGAGGCAGCCACGGCAGCCCGCCCTGCAGGCAGAGCTGAGCTGGTTTTCCCATTGTGCTGAATCACACGGAACAGATAAAGTTTCCTCAAAATGTTGTTGCCCTGAGGATGTGGGACTTGGGAAAGTTGGGTGGGAGTGAAGGAGGATGAACACCTGAACTGGGAACTGGGCACAGGAGATGCTGCAGCACTGTGGGGCAGGCTGGAGGGCGTTCTTAGGAGGACCGTGCTTAATTCTCTTAACTCTCCAGGAGAGTAAAACATGGTTGAAATTTCCTCTGACTTCAGCACAGTGTGCAGCTGCTGGAACAGGAGCTGATGCTGCAAAGTTGGTGCTGCATTGTTGTTGCATCCCTTGCAGACATGAGGTCCACACCTGGAGCTGCCAGCAGGATTTGGAAGCACGAGGGGGGTCCCATCAGTGCCATCGCCTTGCTCCTGGCATAGATGTCTGCAAAGTCAGGTTTGAAGAAGCATGGAATAACCTGCTCCAAAAAGACAGACGAGACTCACTAGGACAGCGATCAATAGCAGGGAATGTGCTGGGTGTGTAACCAGAGGAAAGCATTTTGCAATAGCATTCCGTTTGTGGCTGCTGTCCTCCTCTCGATTTTTCACGCGCACAAAATCATTCCTACCTGCAGATAGAAAACCACCCTTTGGCTTTGTGCTCCCAGGAACAAGCACCATCTGCATCTTGCAACTTGATTTAAGCATTGCAGTCAGCAAGAAGGAAATTTGGTGCCCCAGCGTGGTTTTTCGTATTACAAGTTCAGAAAACCCCAGTCAATCAGCCCACCAGGCTCTTGGTCTGAGCCTTTACCCGGTCCTGTTTCTGTGACACAAATAAAGCTATTAGGTGTGTGAGGCGGGTTGCCTTGAAATTTCCTTTCCCCTTTCTTAGAAATGGATGTAGGGGAAATATTGCTCACTTTCCTTTCTCCTAAGGACCATCTGGGCTGCAGGCAGCGCTGCCATTCCTACTTCCAATCAGTGGAACAGGGTGAGGCTTGCACTGCATCCTCCCCTACTCTTGATTGACATCTCACCAAGCGCTCCCAGAAGCATCTAGGAAGACAGTGCTTTTCATTGCAGTGACTGCATAGCAGCCAAGTGAGCTCTGAGCACTGAGATGCTGTCTTCCAGGGACTGAGAGTTCAGATTTCCCATCCTCCTGTACTGGATGGCCGGTCTTGCTGTAGCAGGCTGTAGCTTTGTCCCTTCCAGCTGAATCTGAAGCTGCAGTCTCTTGCCTGGCATTGCCCAGCCCTCACATTGTGGTGCTCTGTTGTGCTGGGAAGCCGAGAGGTGCAGCTGCTTTTTCCTGGAGCCTCAGGCCTGAAGGACTCGGGTTAATGCTGTGTTTCTGTTTCCCCAGAGATCATCGATGACCTCACGAACCTGGTGGAGAACACGGACAGCAAGCTTCGCACTCAGACACGGCACGTGAAGATGGTGGACAGGAAGTCAACGTCCTGCGGTAGGAAATGAGCACAAATCCCATGCTGTTACTAAATGGCAATGGCACAAGTCATGCTCCGAGGCTGTGTGCTGTGCTTCTCCCAAGGAAGATTTCCTATGAAGGGAGGAAGCCATCTCTCCAACCTCCATGTGCCTTCAGCCAGTGCTGCAGGCTCTCTGTGTGTCGGTACTGTTAGCTTCCCTGCGCCATTTCGCTCTGGTGTTGCACAATGTTCTGATGGGACACTGTAGAACTGTGTGTAATTCGTGTGGTCCATGTTAATGAGGTTTAAAACTTGCTAGCTACCAGAAAGAAGAAATAGTCGCAGCAGGGAGTGGTGCTGCAGGGCGTTCCTGGTGGTGTCCTGCAGGAATGTGTCCCAGCCCGATGGCACTCGGAGCTGCCAGACATGAAATCCTCACTAGTGATACTTGGAGTTGCACGCAGGCGAGCAGAGCTCTGCCAGGCTGCCTGTTTCATAGCTAAAGCAAGGCAGTGCTTTTCCCATCAGTGAGAGCAGGTTCTGCGTACAGATTGCAGTGCTGGGGGTGATGGCAGAAGACACACTGGCTTGGCCACAAGCTGGGTGAAGCAGAGCAATGAGGGCACCAGCTCAGCAGCAGGGAGGTGTCCCTCAGGCCCTGAGGGTAAATTTGAGGGATTGATTTGCTTCTCCGTCACGTTTAGCTTGTTGTAAGCTTGGCTGGAGCAAATCGAAATCTGTGGTCTCTTCTAGAGGTTAAAGTGAACTCATCAGGGCATTGTCACCGATTTCTCATATTCCAACTACAGGCAGAGCTGAAGATGTGTCTGCAGAGTTCATGACTGATCGTTTGTTTCAGATCTCTGATGCTGACTCAAGATCGATTTGATTTAAAACTAATTGGACTTGGATGATGCCAAGTGCCCTGTGCAGCCCCTCCATTTCTGCACCTGCACCCACAGTGGGGCAGGAGGCTGTCTGCAGGGAATGGCTTCTACATGTTGGGTATTTCTCCCCCTTTCTGGGCTCTTAATGCAAATGCAGAGCCCAACAATGCTGCTAGATAATGAGCCTGTCTCTTTGACTCTAAAGGCCATGCGGGCTGTGCTGGGGAATTCAAGAGGAGGAGGAGGAGGAGGAGGGAGAGGTGAAGGCTGGGAGGATCCCAGGCTGGATGCCTTGAGGGTGACCTCTCTCACCCTTTCTGCATTGAAAAACATTTTTCTTTAAAGGGTGGTGAGAAATGATGCCTCTTCATGTCTGCTCTGTCTGCTCCAATAGGTCTTCCTGTGTTTGCATAACAATTTGGATATATGTGAGCACTGTGTTGCCTCGAGTAGCTGTTTTACCCTGCCTAATCATGAGTTTCAGAACAGTAATGCTGGAAGATGCAGGCTTTGATGGCATTCTTCCCGTCCCTTTTCCACCCTTAAACCAGCAATTTTCAGTGCCAGGTGTATGAAGTCCAGAAAAACCCTCCACATACACAAGAGTATTTCTTGAACAAAGCCAAGCAGCAGGAAGGCAGGCATCTGCCAGGTGACTTCTCAGAGTGCATTTCTCCACTAACACTGCTTAAATTGATGAAGCCATCAGTAACTTTTGGTTTCTGCACTGCACAGCAATAATATGCTCAGTCCTGCTCCCCACATCTGTCCTGACCCACATCTGTGCTGCTCCAGTGTCTTTTCCTGTGTTTCCTCACTTGAAATCTTCACGTCTTTTTCTTTCTTTCCCCAATGAGTGGATGTATTGGAGCAATGGGCTGCGGATCCAAGCACAGCACTCTGGCATGAGCAGTGGAATAATCACCCTTTTATGAGCAGGAATGTAACACATTAATGGGCGTTCTTTGTTAGCAGCCAGTATAATAAAATCAAAGTATTGCTGATGAAATCCAATTCCCATCAATATTTCAATGTCTTGCTCTCATGCAAGCACCACTTGAGGCTTTGGGGCAGATTCAGGGATGGGTGTGACATCCTGCAGAGCAGGGAGCACCGACCTGGAGCTGCAGCCCGGCCCCACGCTCCTGGCTGGAGCCTCCAGGTTGTGTTGGATGCCTTGTTGCATTTGCAGCTTATTTGCAGTGACGTTTCTCTGTGAGCTGTTGACAGTCTCACCCTGGGACGCTGCCCATGGAGGCTGCCCAGCATGGACCCATCTCCCTTGGTGTCCCCGGGCAGCCCTGCGCTGGTGGCAGTGGAAGTCCCATTGATGGCAGTGCAAGAATGGCCATGGAATAGTTTATGTGCCTCATTTATGAAATTATTGCTGAAAATCATCAGTCATCTGCAGGCAAATGCTCGCACTCTGCTTGGCATTGTTTTATTTCCTTTCAGCGTCTGCTGGGCATTGAGAAGGGATCTTAGGGCGAACATATTGCTGAGATTTCCGAAACTCATCCGCAGCTTTCACCAAACCATACGCACAAGTCATCCATCAGCTGCTGGGCTGCCTGCTCCAGGCCTGGCTGTGCCATCCGTGCCATTTTACCAGCGGCTCTTTGGGTTTGTCTGCCTGTCCCCGTGTTCTCCCAGCTCGTGTACCTTTGGGGTTTGTTGTGCAGAACAACGCTCGTTAATCATTTCTCAATAACGTTTTTATTAGAAGCTTCAACCCTCAGGATGTCCTCTGAAGAACTGCATTTAAAAATAAACAAATACAAGTATAATAACAAACAACTGGGAGTGTGATTCAAGTTGAGGTGCTGGGGGAAAAACAAATGTGCCCCAGACAAACCCTGAGCTGAACAGACCTGATGACGTGGCGCACGGCTTTGTCCCTTCGCAGTGCGATCCCCTCAAATCCCTCCGTAGTTTTGTTTTTTCTTGGTAGAGGTGGCCCAGCTGTGATCTCATCCATTCCTGTTCCTAGGAGGAAAAAATGTGTGGAGAGGAAAAGGACCGCCCCGACTGCTGCTGTCAGTGCTCCCAGCCCCGGGCTGCATCCTGTGCAGCACTGAGCCTCCCTTGGCTCCAGCACCAGCTCCCACCTGCAGCACGGTACCTCAGCACCACCCATGTCTGTACACAGCACGCAGATTACAGCTCCCATCCGTCTCCTTTTCCCCTGCTCCACCAGATGGCAATGCAATCCAGCCGCCTCCCGCTGCCCCCGTCCCGCAGCCCCTGCAGCACTGTGGCAGCTCCTGGCCCTGAGCTTATCCCCCATCACCCCAGTACCCCAGTGAACTCAGTGTGAGTTCTCAGGAGGTCTCCTAGTTTTAAAGCAGGATACCCAGACTGCACAAGGTTTCTCCTAAAGAACCGTGATTCATGCCTGCTGGGCCTCTCCTGCCGCCCTGCTCTAATTACTGATTTTTGCCATGGGTTTAATTTGCAGTCAGGGCCATGCAAACAGTCGCTCGGGTTTGTTCCCCTGACATGCACCGTGTGCTCACAGGAACAAGTGCTGTCCTTTTTTTGGAGCACTGCAGTCGGTGCCATGAGGTCAGCCTTTCCTGCGCGCTCCTTTCTGGGATTCCTCCCCCCTGCAGCGGCTCAGAGCCTCCTGGATGGGACAAATCCTTGCCCTGGCAGCTGTATTTTCCTGCTTTATATTTTTCCCCTTCTTTATTTTCTCCCATAAGCACTGATGTGTTGACAAGCTTGTTCTGGGCCGTTACCGCTGCAAGAAAACTTTGCAAAGGAGTGATTTCTTCCTCTGCTCCAGCTCCTTTTTGCTCCACGTGATAACACAGCCTGGGGAAGGGCAGTGCCAGCAGCATGCTGTGTGTGCTGTGGGGGGCATGCTGCTGTGCCCCCTCCTCACCCCACTGTGCCCACAGCTGAGCGGGGCTGACATTGGCAGGAGGTGGAGGTCACAGAGATAGGTGCTTCCTCCAGGTCCACCTGGCCGTGTCTCCTCGTTAGCACTGAGACCCAATTAAGGGTCCTGCTGAGGGGGAGAGTGTGGGGGAGCTGCGTCTCGTTAGACACCAAGGAAATCTCAAAGCAGATGAGCTTAAGGATGTGGCAGAAATGGGGCTCGTTAATTATGTTAATAGGACAGCTTTTGAAACAGGCCTGGCGGTTTTGGTGCTGAGCCATTCTGAGACTTCTGTTTGCTGTCTTACCATCTTGTTTTCCCAAAATATGAACGGCCTTTCCCTGCTTCAGTAGCTCAGAGGCCCAAGGGAGCCACCTCCTTGTGCATTCTGTATCATTCATTGAAGCATTTGGCTTAAAACCGCTCGCGTTGCGATGTTGAGGTGGATCAGCTGGTCAGAGGTGCTGGATCTAAACACTCATCAACAGCCTTAGAGCAGCACCAGGGGCTGGAGCTGCCTGCTGCCTGCTGCCCTGCTGCCCGCTGCCCTGCTGCCCTGCTGCCCTGCTGCCCTGCTGCCCTGCTGCCCGCTGCCCTGCTGCCCTGCTGCCTGCTGCCCTGCTGCCCAGGTGAGGGGCTCAGCACTGCTGCTGTAACTGCGTTGAGCACTGAAGGACAGGAGGAGCCTTCTGGGTCATAGCATCACTTCAAGATAGATTTCCCAGAACAAGCTCGTTTCTTCCCCCCCATTACTCCTATTGGGAGCTCACAGTGGTCATAAACTTATCCCCAGCCTAAACTTGTCAGGGATACTTCATTTAGTCCTTGTGCAGCCCTTGTTCTGGTGTGCCTTGAATAGTCACTCAGCGTTCACCCCCTGCTTTGTCTGTGGGGCTGGACGAGCATCATTACATTTAAATCTACTAAAATAACCCCTGTTCTGACAAGTCCTTTTTTTGTGCTTCTTCCTACTTGAATTTTTGCCTCTCTCAGACAAGTCTCCATGCCTGACGTGCCCCAGCAGTGCTCTGGTTGTCTCCCTGGGCCTTTCTCATTCGTAAGAATTTTCCACCTGACTTCATTATCATTCTGGCTCATGGCAAAACGTAGTGTTTGTCCCACGTGTGTGCCTTCCCCTTCCGTCCTGTCAGATTCAGCCTTCTCCATTTGTCTTTGCAGTCACCCATTTTGGACTCCCAGCTCTGCTCTGTACCGATGGCGCTTTCCAGCTTTGTGTCGTCAGCGCGTTTCATTAGCACACTTA